TATGTTCAAATTCAAAAAAAAAAAACAATTTAAATGATAATAATAAACTAAATGATGATTTGATTAATAGCGATAAGAATAATATAAAGAAACCTAAAAGTAAACGTACAGATGTAAACTTCAATAATAATTTTAAAAAAAGATATAACCTTAGAAATTCAACTAAAATTTGAAACGTTACGAAAGAATCGGGTGATCCTTTTTGTCAGGACGGCCGAATTGTAGTATATAAGTAGTATGTAAGCTATATTATTGAGTATTTAAGTTATCGATAAATTGTGCAATATGTGTGTATGAACTGACTGCAGGGCAGACAAGCTCATGCCACACAAACGAAGAAGATCATTATTAAAGATATCGTGAAACGAACCAGACGTGTTTTCTTGATCTACACAAATGTTCTGTGGAAAGACAGCAAAGCCGTTCGTTTCTTGTCATCATATGTGGGTGTTAAACCATTTGCAAGGAAGGATCCGCGTCAAGGAACATAAAAAATTCCACGGCTCGACAGAAAATCTAAAAAATACGTTGAAATTGATTGCCCTCAAATTGTTAAGGAGTATAATGCTCACATGGGCGGCGTAGACCTTAGGGATGGTTTAATGGGCCGTTACCATATTAGAGTAAAAACTCGGGATGCCGCAACTCGAATTTTTTATCATTTAATTGATATGGCGAACGAGGCGAACAAGGAAAAAATGTTGGAGCTCCCAGATTTTAGAGAAGCGGTGGCCGCAGGTATGGTAACATACAAATGCAAAAATTTACCAGGTCGTCCATCTACATATAGATCGCCGTGCTCTCAGCTAGTGCGAGCTATAAACTCACCATCCTCTCGGATAGAGCAAAGAGACCAGTCTCCACTGTCTCACCGATCACCACAGCTTGGCCTTAAACAAGGAAAAAAATCAAAGCACCCTATATCAAGCTTGCTTTTTGATCAGGTAAACCATTTTCCTCATTGGTTGGAGCGAGAGAGTGGAAAACGTCGTTCCAAATTATGCAAAACATCACAAACACAATGCATTTGCCCTAAATGCAACTTACATTTATGTTGCACATCTAATAAAAACTGTTTCTTAGAGTATGATAACAAAAAATAAAATTTGACATGGCAAAACAAAATTGATTCTTTTTACTCTCAAGTGCCTAAGGGTGCCTTGAGGCACCTATTCAGTTTTTCTCACCTTACAGGTAAAAAAGGTTCTACGTTCTTTTTAATAGCATTTTTGAGTTAAGAAGGCACAAATCAATTTAGAAAAAATTATTTCATTTAATTTCTTGCGTTATTGTGGAAAGTGGCATTAGAGGGTTAAAATCTATCCTTTCATCCTCAGAGGTTTTGGCATTTCCAAATTTTTCTAAACCCTTTCACTTAACTACTGACGCGTCGAATTATGCTATCGGGGCGGTCCTTTCTCAAGTAGACGCTGGCAAAGATAGGCCAATAGCGTATATCTCTCGGTCCTTGACTCAGACGGAAGAAAACTATGCCACCAATGAAAAGGAAATGCTCGCCATAGTGTGGGCCTTAGATAATTTTCGGTCTTATTTGTATGGTGCCGGGTCCATCAGGATTTACACCGATCACCAGCCTTTAACATTTGCCCTAGGCAATAGAAATTTTAACGCCAAGTTAAAACGTTGGAAGTCCCGTATTGAGGAATACAATTGCGAACTAATATAGAAACCAGGGAAGTCGAATATAGTGGCCGACGAACTTTTAGGGTTACAACGTACGTTAACCATCTGGGCTCTGGCGCCGATACCGCCTCCGAGTCAGATTCTATAGCAACAATTCATAGCGCTCTCCAAGACGCATCTCATTTAATCCCCCACGTTGAAACGCCGATTAACTCCTAACCGAAATCAATTGATTTTTCTTCCAGGCCTATCCGATTACGCATGTGAGCACCCACATGCCGGATACGTGCGCCACTCAATTCCAATTAACGACATTACCTCTTCTAAGCTTCTAGACTTACTAAAAAAATACTTAAAACCTTCAGTAATCAATGGGATTAAAATTCCGGACGATTACCTACAACTCCTTCAAACCTGTTGCATTCCGAGTTTCAAATTGTTTAAAATCCGCATAACACAGCGTTTAGTTCAGGATATTTCGGACGAAGAGCAAATTTGCGAAGTCATCGAAAAAGAACATCGCAGAGCGCATAGAAACGCAAAAGAGGTCCGCATTCAGATCCTAGAAAAGTACTATTTCCCACGGATGGCTAACATTATTCGCACGCAACTGTCAACCTGTGCCACTTGTAAATTGCACAAGTATGACAGGCACCCAAATAAACCACCACTACAGCCAACTCCTATCCCTAATTACCCATGTGAAATACTTCATATCGACGTTTTCACATTGAAAAAAAGTATATCTCAGGTGCATCGACAAATTCTCTAAATTCGCTAAACTTTTCCCCTTACAATCGAAATCAGCAATCCATCTTCGCGAAACACTATTGGATGCACTCCATTACTTCACGGCGCCTAGAATGATAGTAACTGATAACTGATAGTAACTGCCCAACTGTCCTAAACTACCTTCGAACTTTGAACATTGAGCTATACCATACCCCAACTCAGAAAAGCGAAGTAAACGGTAAGGTAGAAAGATTCCATTCCACCTTCGTGGAAATATATCGATGCTTGAAAGGCGAATATCCCACCTTTAAGCCAAACGAGCTTATCTCAATTGTTGTAGACAGATACAAAAACTCTGTCCACTCGGTGACAAATAAAAAACCCGTTGACATTTTTTTCAACCGAACTTCCCGAATAAACTATCAGGGGCTATCTAATTTTAAACAGCAAACTCTTGAGGGCATTCGAGGCCTCATTGAGCACAAACAAAACTTAACCAATAATGGGCGCAATAAAAATAGAGGCGATCCAATTTCCTATGAGCAAGGTGTGTAGCGCTTACTCAGAGAAAGATACTTTTGCAGCGCCATCTGTTGGTCGTTCTGAGAGGGGGTACTGCGTTGCCACTAGAGCTAATATGAGAGTGGGAGGTATAGGTAAGAAAGCGCGAGAGAGCAACAGTGGCAAGTGTCAACTATCTTCGCTTTCGCCTGATTCGATCTGGGGTTACCGCCACTTTTCCGGCGTGGGGTTCGGTCTTTCCGTTTTCGCCAGCTGCAGAGTTCAGTTCAAGTTACTGGTAAAAAGAAATTCGAAAAAGTACACGCGAGTGCTAAGACACAGTGCCAGCGGAAAGAAATTCCGATTAAGTTGGTAGCGAGCCGCAAAGAAAGGGTGAGGAAAAATAAAAGCAATTGGATAGACAGATTGTAAATTTTTTTTAGGGTTTTATAGGCAACCGCTTGGGTTCGAAGGCGACCAGAGAGAGAGGGCGAATATAACCAAGGGATATATCCAATCCAGCGAGCAAGTTCAACGCAGCGTTTCGCCGAAGTACTGCCGCAGCGCTTTAGGAGGGGCGTAAAGAATTACCCCATTTTCCGTTCAGGATAAGTTTTTGCCCTATAACCTATTGTCCCGGCCCAAAGAAAATTGCATACGGTAAAGCTAGTGCTAAGATTAGGCGGCGAACTACCATCGAGCCAGCTGCCGTCGATTGGTTGAGCCGAAAACAACTCAGGTTTGATCGAACTTGTTCGTCAGTTTCGCCGTGCGCTGAGAGATTACACAACGTCGCCGCCACGCTCTGCGGTGAAAAGTTTTTTTTTGCAGTTTGGAAAATATTCATTCGGGCCGAAAAGACGAAGATATTGGCCAAATCTCGATCGGAAAGTCGTCCGGGAGAAGCCGCCACGGAAAGCGGGAAAAAAATTAGTTTTAAGATAGGCGGTTAAGGTTAAGTGATAAGTTCCAGTTCGTCGAAAAGAGAGAAAGTTAATTTTATTTTGTTCGGTGTTAGTGTAGTTTGGGGAGTTATTTTGATCTAAACCCCAGTTTAAGTGCTGCATTGCAAAAGCCCAGAAAGCCCACTAAAGTCTCAGTTCTCCTGGCCCATGAATTTCTATTTTTTTTCTGTGTTGGTGTTCTTTTCTTGTTCTTAGCCCTATTTAGCCTTCATCGAGTCGACCAAAGCGCTTTCGTCGGAGGATGGAAAAGGTGGTGAGTGTTTAAAAAACCACTATTCAGAACCCCTTTTGAATAGGAAAAAATCGAAAAAAATTCATGATTTAACCTCAAACAAAAAAAGTACGAATACAGAGAATTAAAGAAACCGAAGCCCACTGAGAGAAAAAATGTAGAGTAAAAAGCTAGATTGAACAAAAATTAAAGATTATTGGCGTGTGGCATCTTTTCATTTAAATGGTTAAAAAGATTAAAATGATAAATGCAGATTAAATATAAAAAAAAAATTAATTAATTTGAAAATTAAAATACAAAATTTTTCAAGTCAATTGATAAAAAACACCCAGACTTCAGCTACCCATATTTTCATATTTATACCTACAAAAAGTTTATAACAAAAAAAATCCTATTATGCATTTACACCTATTTATTACATATTAACTTATTTATATATATTTATTGCCTATATTTATTTATTTATTCCATGTTCTTTTGTTTAGCTTAAGTGATGGTTTACATTCTTAGTCGGTAAATAAATTTTATAATGATTTGCTAAGCTAAAGAAGTGGCCGCAGCTAGCGTTGTTTGCGATGTAGCGTATCACTTGGTAAAGGGGTCGCTCAGGCTGTCAAGCGATGAAAGGGACGAGCGACCAAAGGTAGGGTGGGCAAACCGTGACCTCCACGACATCCAAGGAGGCGAAAGGTGAAGTCAGTCGAAGGGGAATTAGTAGGGAACGTATAGTAGTTGTCGTGGAACGGATTAACATATCGCTCAAGGTTTAGTAAATTTAAATGTAGCGTAAATTTAAATGTAAAGTATTTCAGTATTTGTTATCGATGTTGTAAATCGTTAGAGAGATCATATTGTAAAGCTAAATGCGGTCACACGAAATGGTGAATTGTAAGCCAGAATCTCCCGCTCAGATTTATTCCGATTGAAGAGATCAAAGAGACTGGGAGGCGAGACTGCGGTATGTAAAACTGATTGTGAAAATAGGTTAAATCTGATATATGTATTTCATACAGAATAAAACATCGTCGTTTGTTTATGCTATTGTTCTACGCTACAAGACTGGCTTTCTTGTTTCGGTGTTGGCTAAGCAACGTTAAAGGCAACTCCCAGGGGATCTCTTTCGGTCGGCGTCATTTCTTTTATTCGCACTCCTTTATCGTGCAATGCCGACTTCACATTCACCCCGGCGGAGCCCCCGAATTGGACAGACGGGAGCTCCCGCAACTGCAACTACGACCACCGCGACCACATCAGCCGGCACTCCGAAGAATGTGCCGGGCTTGTCGGGCGGTGAGCTGCAGCGGCCACGGACTCCAAAGCAACCGGGATTAATCCCAAGTGGTGCTCCAAAGCCTGATAGATCAGGCCAGGATACGGACACCACAACCGCCAAGTTTGCGGCGCTGATGGAGAGGATCGCTACCTTGGAAAGGGAGCTTCAAAAGGCGAGGTCAGGTGAAGGGCAAGATGCAGCCGCGAGGGATCCCGTTAGAAACGGATCAAGCGGTATAGGAGCGAGCGGTGCGGCGAATGCGCCGCCATGTTTGAGCGGAACGCCAGGGGCAGAACTTGAGTGGAAATCTGCCGCCATTGTTGAGTGGAAATCTGGCACCGAATTTGGCTGAGTCAGTGACGCCATTTTTACATGAACAGTTGCCGCCATTATTGAGTGGAAACCTGCCGCCACAATCGAGTGGAAATCTGGCAATAGGGCAACAAGTCACACTCAGTACAAACAGTACAACGTTAAGCTATTCCACACCATGCTGCGTGACGGCTACTGTGCAGCCAGCACTAAGCTACATGCAAGCTACGCGGGAACCTCTTCGCAACCTGATGGTACCCCCGCAATCAACTGGTTCATACGGAATAGCTTCGCCGAGCCCGTTAATTGGATGGACGCCGCGCAGACTGCCTGATCTTCCAGAGTTCGAAGGTCAGCCTGACGAATGGCCAATATTCCAATGCGCGTTCACGGAGACGACGGCGGCGTATAATTGTACTGCGTTGGAGAACAACCAGAGGCTAGTGAAAGCCCTGAAGGGTGAAGCGCGAGCATCTGTCAAGTCGCTGCTTATACACCCGAATAACGTTCAGGGCTGTAATGGATCAGCTACGTTTCCGATATGGACGCCCGGAGCAACTGATACGTAGCCAATTGGAAAGCGTGCGAGAGGTGCAGCCGATCCAAGAACACAATATAATAAAGATCGTGCCGTTTTGCAACACGGGTCAAAGCAATCTCGCAGCGTTTTTACAGTCAAGCCCGAACGGGGAGCAGCACCTAGGAAATCCTACATTGATGGAAGAGCTGATCGCCAAGCTACCACTGAGCAAAAGGTTGGATTGGGCCAGGCACGCCGCCGTAATAGGGTGCTACCCAACTGTCGCGCACTTGAGCGAATGGCTAAAACGAACTCGCTAAATTAGTGTGCACTATTACGAGCAGCGACAGCAAGGATCCTAAGCGTAGGGTATTGCACGCCAGCACCAGTCAGAAGGATCAGGATCTATTTGAAGATCATCCCAGGAGTTGCCCAATTTGCGAGGGGCAACACACTATCAAGGACTGTAAGGATTTCAACCACGCTACTCCGACTGCCCGTATGGAGTATGTAAGAAAGCATCGGATTTGTTTCTCGTGCCTGGAGAGCGGTCACATGTCCAGGTTCTGCAAGAGAAACAGCAGCAAGTGCAACGTCTACGGATGCCAGATGGGGCATCACTACCCTCCTCCATGACGGGTGGGCAACCCCACACGGCCATCGCAACCCCACGGTCGACCATGGCCAAATGAAAGGAGCGATCGCGGTCGCGTGGTACATGCGGGCGCTGACAGGAGGAAGGTGGACAAGCAAGTACATCAGCCAGATGATCTGGCCCAGAGAAGTCCACTTACGGCATCTGCACAGACGCAGGATTTATGGCGCAAGCGGGACGAAGGCCGTCAGCCAAGTGACGGGAATGGATTGCCACATCGTAACCTAAGTTGCGTCGATCCGGATGGAGGACACTTACTATTCCGTATTTTGCCCGTGACGCTGTACGGGGAGGATACGCAGCTGGATACCCTACGCGCTGTTCGACGAAGGTTCGTCCGTGACCCTGATCGACGAGGAGCTCACTCGAAGCCTAAACCTAAAAAGGCGAGAGTCGGCAGCTCAACATTCAATGGTTCGGTGGCAAGTCAGCGAAAGAGAACACAAAGATGGTCAGCCTCCAGATTAGTGAAGCGGGCAGACCGAAACGCCATGCTTTGAAAAATGTGTATGCGGTCTCTAACCTCAATCTTCCGATGCAAAGTCTGCGTCGGGAAGATGTCAAAGCGGCGAAGGCTTCTGCACGCCTGCCGATGAAACCGTATCGTAATGCGGTCCCGAGGATTTTAATCGGACTAGACCATGCGCACCTAGGAATACCTATGCAAAACAGGAGCTTCGGAGCAGGAGGACCTATGCAGCCGCCACCAAGCTAGGATGGGTGGTTTTTGGTCCTGTAAGAAGTCAGATGAGTTCACCAATGCAAAGATCGTGCCTCCTACCCGTCCCACAGTATGATCATCTCGAGAAGATGGTCAGCGACTATTTCGAAATAGAGAATTTCGGAGTGAAGCCGGCGCCACCAGTCGCAGCTAGTGGCGACGCACGGGCTTTGGGAATCCTGAACGAGACGACTAGGCGAGTGGGCGAACGATACCAAACTGGATTGCTGTGGAAAGATGATAAAGTGAGCCTGCCTGACAGCTATAACATGGCACTCAAAAGACTTGTCGGCATTGAAAGGAAGATGAGACGGGATGACAGCTTTGCACGGGCCTACAAGTCGATCATGGAGGACTACGTCAACAAGGGTTACGCACGACGCCTGGAGCAGCAGGAAGTGGCAGCCGATAACCGGGACAAGATCTGGTACCTGCCGCACTTCGGGGTCGAGAACCCAAACAAGCCCGGAAAGATCCGTCTAGTCTTCGATGCCGCAGCCAAAGTGGGCAATACATCTTTGAACTCAGTTCTACTCAAAGGCCCACAACAGTTCAAGTCCCTGCCAGCCGTGCTCTTCCATTTCCGGGAAGGAGCAGTCGGGGTCTGCGCAGACATAAAGGAGATGTTTCATCAGGTGCTGATACAGCCCCAGGATAGATGCGCCCAGAGATTCCTGTGGAGGAATGGAGATGACCGGCGAGATCCAGATCTGTTCGAAATGGTTGTGATGACGTTCGGAGCCGCTTGTTCGCCGTGCTCAGCGCATCATGTGAAGACCATAAACGCTTCAAGATACGCCCAAGCAGATCCTCGCGCGGTTCAGGCCATCAATGAGTATCACTATGTAGATGACTACGTGGATAGTTTCTCGGACGAGAAAGAAGCTATCGCTGTATCAGAACGAGTAAGGAAAATTCATGCTGAGGCCGGTTTCGATTTGTGCCGCTTCTCATCAAGTTCGGAAAGTGTGGTCAAGGCTTTGAACCCACTAGGATCCAATAAGAACGTTGAATGGAATGAAGCGGAGGAGAAAATATTAGGCATGTACTGGCACCCAGCGACGGATGACTTTAAATTCAGCGTAAAGTACCACAGGGTTCCCAGCAGCGTGATGACCGGAGAACGTGCACCCACCAAGAGAGAATTCCTAAGTCTGGTTATGTCAACATTTGACCCGATAGGATTCTTGAGCTGCTTCATGGTAACCGCCAAACTATTGATGCGTGAGATTTGGCGGAGAGGAGTTCAGTGGGACGAGCCGTTGCCGGATGAGTTAGCCAAAGCGTTTGAGAGCTGGAGGCTGGAAATGGATTACGTGAGAGATTTCCGCTGTCCACGCTACTACTTTGGCACGGGATGCGTACGTGAACTGCAGCTACATGTGTTTGTGGACTCCAGCCAATCGGCGTTCGCAGCAGTTGCATTCTGGAGGGCGACTTATGACAACGATGATGTGCGGTCCTATTTCGTGTGTTCCAAAACGAAATGCGCCCCGATGAAGACGATGACGATCCCGCGCCTGGAGCTCCAAGCAGCTGTATTAGGAACCAGGCTGATGGACACCGTAAGACGAGAGCACGACGTATCGATCAGCAGATGCGTGCTATGGACTGACTCTAAGACCGTGCTGCACTGGATAAGCAGCACCCACCGGCGGTATAAGCAGTTCGTTGGAAACCGGGTGGCGGAGATCTTAGAGTCAACGGAGGTGTCTCAATGGAGGTGGATACCGTCTGCCGAAAACGTGGCAGATGACGCGACGAGGCCACAGCGCCATGTGGACCTCAGCCAAGGGGCAAGGTGGATGAGCGGGCCATCATTTCTGCGGGAGTCGGAAGAACAGTGGCCCAAGCCATCTCCAAGTGATCGCGACAGTCCACACTCCGCAGAAGAAGAGATGCCGTGTGAGTTTACACTGGTAATTGCCAACGAGTTTATATTTTTGCAGAGATTTTCGAATTATAATCGATTGGTCAGGACCACAGCGTGGATCCTCAGGTTCATACGACGGTGCCGTGGATTGAGTGACGAGAGTGAGGCCTACGGTATTACAGCTACTGAGTGCGCGGAGGCAGAACGGAAACTGATCCAGCGCGCCCAGGCTGATACGTTCGCAGATGAAGTTCAAGGAAAGGCAGTGGCGAAAGGCAGTCAGTTACGAGGACTATCCCCTTACGTCGACCACGATGGAATCATACGAGCGCGTGGACGGATTGATGCCGCCGAATGCGTCCCATTCAACGCACGGCGCCCGATCATACTGTCGCACAAACACGCACTGGCAGAGATGATAGTTCGTCACTACCACAGGAAGATGAAGCACCAGAATCTAGACGCGACCATAAGCGAGATCCGGACCAGGTTCTGGATAACCAATTTAAGGAGAGTTTTACGGAGTGTTATGGCAACCTGTAACTTATGCAAACTCGGAGAGTACGACCAATTCCGCCATTGATGGGTCCGTTGCCAGAGGACCGGCTGGAGCCGAATGGATGGCCATTCAAGTATACTGGCTTGGACTACTTTGGTCCGCTGTTTGTGACGATTGGACGTCGCACTGAGAAGAGGTGGGTCGCACTCTTTACTTGTCTAACCACCAGGGCTGTCCACCTGGAGATAGCCCACGATTTGTCAACAGATTCCTGCATCATCGCTATGAGGAATTTTATGTGCCGCCGTGGACCGGTGGTCAGATTGAGGAGCGACAATGGAAAGAACTTTATTGGAGCAGATCGTGAGGCCAGAAAGTTCGATGAAGTCTTCGAACCAGAAAAGATCCAGGATGAGCTGTCATCCAAAGGAATCGAATGGATCTTTAACTGTCCCGCGAACCCAGCTGCCGGCGGCATCTGGGAAAGGATGGTCCAATGTGTGAAGAAGGTGCTCGCGCATACTGTGAAGGAGGTGGCTCCTAAGGAACACGTCTTGGAGAGCTTTCTTATTGAGGCGGAGAATATTGTTAATTCTCGTCCGCTTACCCACCTTCCAGTCACTGTGGATCAGGAGGCACCGCTAACGCCCAACGATCTGCTAAGAGGAGTGGCTAATGTTCCGGACCTTCCTGGAGATCGCGGAGAGCAGCCTGTCAAGTGCGCTACTAGGAAGCAGTGGCGTATCGCACGGATGATGAGAGACAGATTTTGGAAACGTTGGGTACATGAGTATCTACCGACGCTTGTTCGCAGGGAGAAATGGTGCGAGCATGTCGAGCCTATGCGCCCAGGGAATCTCGTGTACATCTGTGATCCGGCCATCCCTCGTCGAGAATGGAGGAAAGGCGTCGTGGAGGAAGTGTACCCAGGAGCGGATGGAGTACCACGACGAGCGGCGGTACGCACTACCAATGGCGATCGAGCTAAGTTAATCATGCGTCCCATCTCCAGATTGGCTATCCTGGATGTGGTGAATGCAGTTGCTTCACCGGGGTGGGGATGTCGTGGAACGGATTAACATATCGCTCAAGGTTTAGTAAATTTAAATGTAGCGCCAAGTATTTCAGTATTTGTTATCGATGTTGTAAATCGTTAGAGAGATCATATTGTAAAGCTAAATGCGGTCACACGAAATGGTGAATTGTAAGCCAGAATCTCCCGCTCAGATTTATTCCGATTGGAGAGATCAAAGAGACTGGGAGGCGAGACTGCGGTATGTAAAACTGATTGTGAAAATAGGTTAAATCTGATATATGTATTTCATACAGAATAAAACATCGTCGTTTGTTTATGCTATTGTTCTACGCTACAAGACTGGCTTTCTTGTTTCGGTGTTGGCTAAGCAACGTTAAAGGCAACTCCCAGGGGATCTCTTTCGGTCGGCGTCAGTAGTATTTAATGTGTGTGTCTTTCTTAACCCGGTTTTTAGTTCGGTGATGCACGCGAGTATCTCCTTATTATTAGCAAAAGGCATCACGAGTCATCGGCAAGACCATCACACCCGTAGCCGAGAGCCAGAGCCGGATAGTATTTAGCGCGTGCGCCGATGGCTTGGGACAACAGCCAGCCTGGATTTATGAGTATGAGTAGCGAATCGTTACAGGTGACACCGTTTATGTCGCCAATAAACAGATTAAAACAAAAGAAAAGCAGCGATTCAAAGCGGAGGAGGTTGAAGATGACCGAAAGGTCACTATCAAAACAAGGTCGGGAAAAATCTTTCATAAATCCCATTTAAGAAATTAAATTTTTTTTTTTTTGATCAACAATGCAGCTTGTATTTTTCTCGACAGGGAAGACTGGCTACAGTGTATCATAACTCCTCAAAACATTGAAATTTATCTATACAAAAGTGCGTACTGAACGTTTCACTGACTCATAACCTCCTTCAAACACAAAAAAGCAAATAAACATTAGTAATAAACAGAAAAACTCAATTCAATTCTTAGTTTAAGTTAAACAAAAACAAAAAAACCTCTCATAACAGGGGAACAATTATTTAAAACGATATTGAACCACATCAAATAAAATTTTTTTTTAGTAATAATAACATACGAATAATACAAGAAAATACCAAGAACACGAACACAAACATTAGGCTTAAGACATAGAAACCATTTTATTATAAGAATCTACATTTCATGTGCACGTTATCCCCTGCCGACGTTACAAGTGCGTCCACAATCTACGTGGCGACAACCCTCCACATTTTCAAGTATGATGCACCGGTTGTCCCCTTGCAACAAGGTACCGTCTGGAGGACCAATGGCGTTTTCAAACTGGCTCACGTCATCAACCTAGGCCTCATGCAACAACTCACCAGAAGGCAAACGAGGCTATGGTGGTAACCGACCAACGTATCAACGCACTAGTTGGCCACTATCTGCAACACGCTTCAGATGGAATATCGCGCATGGTTGGCGCACCAACACGAAGACAACGCTCAATCGACTGGCTAGGATCAGCCTGGAAATGGGAGGACAGCTTGGCAAGAAACAACAATCAGCAGATTCGCATCAATACTAGGTTGTTCGACACAACACATGAGTCGCTCCAGAAGTTGAACGACGTTATCGGGAGAGTCAACGCAATAGATGGGGACTTCCACGTGACGACGGCCGTTCTCCATAAAGCAATTATAATATCGGACCAGGTCAATGAAATACTGAGGGCCTGCCAACTTGGAAAAACTGGAGTGGTCAACACGAATCTCCTGGACCACGACGAGGTCGACACAATACTGGCGGAGGTGGACAGCCTCCCTTATCAAAACGTTGTCGAGGCCGTCGAATTCTCTAAACCAACAATCCTGACAAACGGGACTGCTCTTTTGTACATCTTGGCTATGCCCAAGGTAGTGGATAGGAGGTACAGACTAATGAGGATCTTCCCAACGATATCCGATGGGAAACAAGTTGTTTTGAAATACAACACATTGGCGATGGACCGCCTTGAAACATACGCCTACGACGAAGCATACGACGGTTGCATACCCAGACTGTTAAAAGGAGGTCAGGCCGAATGCGACTATCTGATGATCAACCAGGAAAAGGTGGACCTAATCGATGACGGCACATTCTTCCTAACCAACTTCAATGGAACGATATCCACACCAGCCAAGAAGTACAAATTAGAGGGATCGTACGTCATACAATTTGACAACGAAAAAATCTAAATCGGCGACCGGAACTACAGCAGCTACTTATCAACACACCTTATGGCAATGGCCGCCGTGCTAACCCAGGTAAAAACAACGGGTTACGAGCTATCGCTGAAATATGTCCATGAATTCAGCATGGAAAACCAGAAGAAGTTATTTGCCATGTCAGATGAGATTTGGATATCCTTCTCAGTGGAGATAGTCATAGCCCTCTCCATTATGACAACGGGATTCATCGTTTGGAAGAAGATAACGTCGACCAAAGGAATCCCTAAACTGCGGGATCCGCCTGAAAGCCTGGAAGCGCAGGATACTCTGGAACCCGCAACCAAAGCCTAATAATCTGTGGGACACAGATCTTGTGGTGGGAAGGAGTTAACACCGGCCAAGCGCCCCCTTCCCTTCACCGCCTCTCGACCCGGATACCAGACACCGCGACTTCCCTCATAACCCCACTCAGCCAACCCGACGACCAGCAGAGACACAGCAGCGGTAGTGCAGACACCAAACTTCAGCGGCGTCAGAGCGACAGCGCCGCGACAGAACGTCAACGGCAGAATGGCACCGGCAGATCCGCTGGGATCAGGAGCGCTACCCCTGCACGCGGACGGAAATGCAACACCAGCACCTGGAGCATAGCAACACTTTGGCCCAAACTCCCCAAAACCGCTGCTGTCAGCATCGGACTGCTGCAACCGCTCTGCCAGCGTTATGCGGTCAACAAGCCAGGCAAATTATGATTGAGAGGAACTTCGATTTGTACCCCCGAGGCAACCAGACGACTGTTCTAGATAATAATAAAACTATTGTAACGTATTAAAACGCTTACTGTTTTATTTTAACGTAGCTGCGTAGAATGAAAGGTTTAAATAGTGGACGAAGGAACTGGAAACCCAAGAGAAGAGGATGCTCATAACGTTGACTAGGTGGTATCCGGGGGAATGCTCCCCCCTCTGGTCATGTCTGAACATAACTTACATGATAAAATTAAATTGAAATAAAATCTGTTTAAAAAAAAAAAACGCCATTTCACTACAAATCCGTGATTGTGTCGCCTAAGTTCTCAACCTCGTCGCCTCAGTAGCCGTGTTGTGTTTTTTTTGGTGCTGTTTGTTTTCCTTTGGGGTGAACTACGTACAGGGTGCCGACGGCATACCCGGCTGCGTAACACAAAATAAAAATAAATCAATTAATTTCGAAAATAGTTAGGAATTCAATATCTACGTACGAGCCACATTTATATAAAAATACACATATAGATCGCCGAACGAGCACGTTTTTTTCCGGTACTTGTCCATTTTCCGTGCCTCTAGCGCAGCTTCTACTCCGCATCAGGCAACATCCGCCTATAATCTCGACAAACCTCGTCTACTTCTGGGTTGTTTTTGGTTCCTGAAGTTTTTTTTCAATTTGTGCCGCACACGACCTTCCTTTTGACATCGGCGCCGCTAGTGCCCACTAGTTCCTTGTGATCGCAATCCATCCGCGATCTCACCGTTCTCATCACATGAGTGTGACCGTCCACCGCTTCGAACGAGGCACCTATTGTGTAAGTCAGTCGACAAGCGCTGACCAACGAATTGATTTTTGAGAATGCCCACGGGAGACGACAACAATCCGCGTCCGATCCCAGCCATCAGTTTGGACAGATCGCAATCCGCATCTCCGCGGACGCCTCTTGCCCACCAAGGGCAGAGAGTGACGAATCTGTCAATACAATCCCCGGTCCTTCACAGAGGCAGACTCGCTCCGTTGTGAAAATGGCTCAAAGTGCGGTCGAAGTGGCGCTGAAAAAGTTCATCGCTACAACAGATCGAATTAGCCAATTTGAGGCTAACATCAATACCCCGGAAGCCCCAGAAACGGAAATAGGCTCCCAATACCTGAGCGAAGTCCATCGAGACCAAATGCGGGGACTCTGGGAGAAGGTGTAGAAATGCTATGAGAGCTACTCCGACTTGCTAGCCGTGTCCGACGTCAATACGGTCACCTCAACAGTGCTGGAATCGAAGTACAGCTACTGTTACTCCGACTTTTCGAGGTGTATTGCCCAGCTTCGGGAGAAAATTGCCTCCCAATCCACTCAGGCTTCCGTCAATGTCCACACGCCCACGTGTACAGGCTGCCGGTTACCTCCAGTGGATACCTTCGGTGGCCCACCTTTAGAGACTTGTTTACGGCCATTTACATCCAAAACTCGCGGCTCATCCCGGTAGAGAAGTTTTCCACTTGCTGTCCACAACAAGTGGTGACGCACACGCCATTGTTTCCTAAGGCTCCGCTTACCCATGAGGGGTTTGTCGCAGCGTGGCAAAGCCTCACAGATCGTTTTGAGAACCGGCGGCTATTGGTCAATAGTCAGTTGAAGATCCTTTTCAACCTCCAGTCTATTTCTCAAGAGTCCGGGGTCGCGATGAGGGAGCTGCAAGCCACCATTCAGAGTTGTCTTACAGCCCTAGAAATGTCCGCCATCAATGTTGAGGCTTGGGATTGTCTCCTGGTTTTTATGATTTCATCGAAGCTCCCCAAGGTCACACTTTTTATGTGGGAGCAATCCGTACAATCCGTAACTTCCTGACAGAGCGCCATCGCACTCTGGAGGCCATCGACGACGTTAGGCCTAGTGGCTCCGGGCAATCTCCGCCAAGGTCGGGACTTCCTACTGCCCCTGCACGGAGGCTCAATTCGTACGAGACTCGAGTGGCTCCGGGCCAAAAGGGATGCGATCTCTGTTCGAGGGAGAACCACCCTATCCGCTTATGTCCGCGTTTCCTAGAAATAAACGTGGACGGGCGCTCCGACTACATTAAGAGGAAGCAGTTATGCTTGAACTGTTTTTCCCGAGGGCACCAGCAGCGAGACTGCACGAGCGCCCATACCTGCTAACATGCCACAGCCGACACCACACCCTCCTGCACCGCGGCAATCCGTTCGCTACCGCTCCAAGTCCGCCTACTCCAAATACTCCTACTCGACCCGCACAAACTGCCAGAAGCACAAACGGCCCAGAGGATCAGTCGGATGTGCAGGTGTGCTTCGCTTCCGGGTCAGGAGCCGTCCTATTGGGCACGGCCCTTATCAACGTGTGCCATTTGGGGTGCAGTTTCCAGGCACTGAGCACTGATAGACTCAGGGTCCGAAACG